CTGTATTTTAACCACAATGGTGTCTTGATCATTTCTTATATCTGTATTTTATCTTCTATCATCCACTATGATGTGTTCTTGTCAGCCGGCATGATTAGGTGACGTCTCAGAAACACGAATTTAACTAATTGCCTTTAAAAATTAGTTTAGATTAATATGTTTCTTCCACACGGCCTATTTGCAGAGCACAGACTAAGAAATACAATTTTAATGCAAATACACACAAATATCAGAATTACAGTTATACCATAGAAATATATGGAGATGTATAAAAAGCATCGGATGAAAAAAAACTGACTTTTCGATTTACCAATATGTAAATATTTGGATCTCTGGACTGCCTGCCAACCTTCATGTGTGAAATTACAAGTCTTTTTTTTTTGTGAGCTGCGTAAGACTGTGATGACCCAGAATAATTTACATAATACCAGCGACACACCTACTCTACCCACGATTTGGCGACCTGCCTGCGTAAATCTCCGACAACTTCAAGTGATAACCAGGTTCGATGGAAACACTATCATGTCAGAAATAATAAAATATTGTTTATATATTAAATAGCGCTGCACTGTTGTTGGATGCACAAATTAGTCTTCGGTATCAACATTATTAGGGTTCTCTTGATAGCCAACGCATTGATGATTGTTTGGCGGCGCTTTTACTGTCTTCAAATGTAAAATTCAGATTCATGTTGGAAAGAATTTCACAGTAAAATATTTTACAATGCACCAAATGTAATTTATTTTAACTGCACAGCACAATACTTTGAATTAGAGTGTAATATTCCTTCAGTATATTACCATAGCATAACAATGAATGGTGTTGTAATTTTACACTGCATGTACTCTAATTTATTTTAAAAGTACATGACGGTATTTTGAATTATTGTCCATGATAACAGGTAACATGCATCCACCATTATTCGCCTGCCTGTGCCAGCTGAAAAAAAGGAGTAGGTTACAGTGTTCCGCCGACGGCCCATTTGTAGGTATTGATGGGGAAACGGAGCAATATTGAAAAGCAGGGGTGGGGAACTCCAGTTCCTCAAGAGCCATATCCTGCCTGTTTTAGATCCTTCCCTAGCCCAACACACCGATTCAATTGTTCATGATCGTTTCAGGCCTCGACAGAGCTTGCGGATGAGCTGATCATTTGAATCACTTGAAAATAAGGCCAAAAATTGTGCCAAATACCAAGTAAAATCAAAATGGTGGCCTTCCTTTCAGGTTTAGGGTATGACTCTGAAAGACTTTTTTGTCGGTCTTGGGCACTTACATATGTCTCCCAATATTCGGAGATCGAGATGAAAATTTATAGTGAGCATTACTGAGCCATTTTTAAGAATCTGCACAATAGCTCTCTCTGTGTTTTTGCTCGGCCTGATGTGTGTGAAAAGTTTACAACAGGTTTCATCTAGGTTTAGACCAGGGACATCCAAACTTGGTCCTCAAGAATATAGCTCCAAAAGACTTTTTTTAAAGGTCTTGGGCTGTTCTATAGGTTTCCATATTTTCACAGATCTCGATGAAAGGTAGAACCAGGGATGCTTAGTAAAAAAAAAAAAAAAAAGCTTTATAATGCACCCTGTGCTAAATAAATAAATCTTGAAAATATAATTTTAATGCCAGCTCTGATGTGTGGGCAAAGTTTCAGGAGTGTTCGCCCAGCTTTAGATCCTCAAAAACATAATTTTTCTTCACAAATGGTTCATCGCCATAGCAACAGCGTGTTACAAAATAAAAAGGTTGCAAAAACTTTTCATCTTAAAAATAGATCAAGTTTGAAGACAGTCAGATACATTCTCTAGTAGTTTGTTAAAAGATGACCTCCATAAAAGCTCCCAAAAAGGGCGACAAATTCCAAAGTAAATCAAAATAGTGGACTTTCAGTTACATTTACCATATGGCATCAAAATACTTTTTCTTTTTTCTTTTTTTTACTGTATATTGTGGGCCATTACATGTGCCTCCCAATTTTTGTACATGTATATATGAAATGTACAACCAGGAATGCTTTGTGAGGTCGGAATTTTTAAAAATAAAATTTGATGCCCCACCCTCTTAACAAAGTATGTCTAAAACGTTTTTTTTCCCTGTTGTTAACCCAGTTGTTGAGATGCCAAAACCCAAGTTTGAAATTAATGGGGTTAACCGTTTCCGGGGGGGAAAAAGTATGACCCCTGTAGATGTGCTAAAATGTTTCTGTCCATTTTCGGGTATAACTAACGTAACCTTTTTTGTAGGTCTGATGGTGCTACATATGCCTCCCAATTTTAGTAGCCCTAGTTCAGGGGTATCAAATTCATTTTAGTAGACTGTGAAAACATATAATGAAGTCAACAATAATGGTGTATTCAACGATTGTTTAAGTTCGTGGAATGGGGGGATTGGTCACAAGAACATGCTTACAATATCTCGCTTATTTACATATGAGAAGTTGAAATTTCGGTAAATAATTTAGCAATCATCATGGAAGTTGACATGTTTGATTTGCTTTCGTGGGTCACATAAAATGATGTGGCGGGCCAGATCTGGCCTCCAGGCCTTGAGTTTGACACCTGTGCCCCAGTTCAAATGTACATTTCATTGTAAAGCTTTAAAATATAAAAATTTTCACCGGGCCCAATGTGTGTCCAAAACCTGTTGAGATTTCGTTCATATTTAGGTCCTTCAAAATGTGAATATACAGTATATGGCAATAATAACAAAAATAATAATAATAATTTCTACAGAAATAATCAACTTGTTTGCCAGGTCCAAAGTTTGGCGAGTTTTTGTCTCAAAAATCAGATTCTGTGAGGAGAAGGAGAAGAACCTTGCAATGTTCGCTCCCCAGGCCTGAATCTCAGAAAAAATCCTGGAAGCCTTACATGCTATTGTGGTCGTAGGCTAAGTTGCCTTCTTGAAAGGTGTGTCTAATTTGTTTTGCAGCCATCTTGATAGACTTCGTTGGTGGAAGAAACGCAGGCAGCTGTCTCAGTGCAAGTTCCTCAACTTCATTTGTGGGAAGTCATAGAAGAAAAAAAGTGATGGAATGGCATACCTGTGATTTTATCATTCTGTAGCCAACTACAACAAAACCAAAAACTCACAGCGAAGGTGCACAGGTGTCACCAAAATCTATTTGTGCCGGACCTAACAAATGTACTTTTATGTTTATTTACACTTATGTTTATGTGATAACTGGCATACACGAGGTTTCTACTAACCCACACACACGCACATTGGTGTCCACTTCACATACATGCAAATTGTGCTAACCTAATGTTAGGAAACTATGTACAGTACCTTGAATTATCCTGAAATTGACAAATTACCTGGATAACAGGCAAGATAACTAAGTGGCTAGCACATTAGCTGGTAACCTTTGACCCAAACCCCCTAGCTAGCTGGCAAGCTCAAACATGAACACGGCCATTGTTTCATTTATTGATTGGGTGAATGACCAAGAAAAATACTGAAAAGCTGTAGCTGTTTCAGTGTGTGTTACAATGCTAACAGCTAAATGGCTAGCTATAATTGTAAGTCACATTTACCAAAAAGCCTTGAGAAGGTAAAATACTATTTCAATAGATAACGAAACACAGACAATGTGAATTACGGTATATACATTGTGTGCACAAAATCATTCATTTACCACGGCAAGAGGAAAAGTTCTTCCAGGGGTTTGTGCCCTCACGGAGCTTGCAAGGTGTGAATATTTCAGTTTTTCAGTTTGCCATGGCTTTATTTATATAGCACATTTCATACACAAGGCAACACAGTGTGCTTCACACAAGCATCAACAACACCGAAAATAATTTACTAACAGAACGGTTAATGGCATTCAGAAAAAAAGCAGAAAAAGAAAAAAGTAGTTTACCAAAGTTACAAACAGAACGAACAATGAGAACATTTCAACACATTAACAGAAAAGTTTTAAAACAATCACAAATAATGTCAGTAAATAAAAATAGGTCACTAAGTTAGAATTAAAAACAATGATAAATGTTGAGAAGACCTTAATAAAAGGTATTGGGAAAAAGCAACGGTTGTAGTATGGATTTAAAAGTATTCACACAATAACTGCGTGGAATTTTGCCGATGTGACTGGAAGCAAACAACCGATTTTCTCATTCAATTCCAAGTATAAATAACCCATAATAGGTAAAACATCTCAAAACCCATCGGTTGAGTAGATCGAACAACCCATCTTGGATGGAGGTTTTGACCGAGCTAAAAAATAGCCCAAAATGGGTATAACATCCATCCATCCATCCATCTGTCCGTCCATCCATTGTCTGAGCCGCTTATCCTCATGAGAGTCGCGGGTGTGCTGTAGCCTTTCCCAGCTGTCTTTGGACACCCATGAACTGGTTGCAAGCCAATCGCAGGGCACACAGAAACGAACAACCATCCGCGCTCACACTTTCCCCTAGAGCGAATTCAGTGTCTGATTAACCTAACATACATACGTTTGGAATGTGGGAGGAAACTGGAGTACCCAGAGAAAACCCCCGCAGGCATGGGGAGAACATGCAAACTCCACACAAGAAGGCTGGAGCCTGGATTTGAACCCTTCATCTCTGCACTATGGGGCTGATGTGCTAACCAGTCATCCACTGTGCCACCTGGATAAAACATTTAATAATTTTTAAGTGTGTAGCTTGGCACTTTAAAATCCAGTGCCTTTTTTTTTTTCATTAATGTTGGATGACCATTTTAGAGTCTTGTAACACGTTACAATTTTAGTCATTTCAGTGTCTCCAGGAGTCTGCAACCATATATAGGATAATCAGTGTTGAAAAAGGATGGATGGCTGTTAGTCGGCATTCAATTTTCATTCTACTTTGTATGTTCCGCAGTTTGGTGCAGCTTTTGTCACAAATGGACAGAACCGACTAGTTTCTGTGACATTAGCGCAGTCATAAATGGTTATTGTAATCTGGATGCAATACATGAAATTGAGATCTCCAGTGAAACATTGCACAAACTACTTTACTTGTTCTTCCTTTTGTTTAGATTCTCATAGGAGAGGCTGTTCTCTTCTGCTATCTATCCAGGAGGTCCTCGACTATGCAGACGGAATCAAACATCACTGCTGCTGGATGTAATTTCAACTCCTACATTCGCAGAGTTGTTCGCTTCATTGGTGAGGAACACAGCAGTATACTATATGCCTGTTTTCAATTCCTACAATGAACCATAGGATACAGATAAATGATAGTAAGGATGGGTACCTTTCACATTTGAACTGGTTCTGTTCAAATTCATGGTACCTGGGAATCTATTCCGAAATCAGAAGCAATGTTCCTTCGCATTTTCCATTTGTCTGAGCATTCACACAAAGTCATTGGGCATTCTTTGGACCAGGGTGAGAAACAAACCAGTATCACACCCATCCAAAACCTGACATCTTAATACTGTAAATTATACAATGTAAGTATGTTCCAAAACAATTCTAACCACCTATAGCATATATCAAAATATAGGATATCATTAAAATTTGTGAAAAAGCCTGAGTTTCTAAGTGTCAGTTGATGCTTGTGGAGGCTCTCAGTCGTACAGGAAAGTTCCATCGTAGAAAGGGTTCTGTCAGTCGTCATCTGTACCTGTGGGTAAAAAACAAAAAACAAAAAAAAACAAAAAAAACGCAAAAAAGGACGTTTCGCTTCTCTCACAGAAGCTTCGTCAGCGGTAGACAACCCTGAAGTCTCCGTGAAGACTCCGGGAAGTTGCTCTGCGCTAAAAAGCTGAGCGTGGCCTGTTTGAGGACTGGGTGGGGATGGTTAGTCACGCCCCTATTGGTTTATTAGAGGCCCATTGGTTTCTAAATTCCCTATCATTGGGTCTTGATTAAGCCTATTGTTTGGGCTAAGGCTGAATAGCTACTTTCAGTTAGCCTGATCAGCATGTCTATGTCCCTTACTGGTCAACAAGTTATTGTAAATAGGAGACAGGTTAAATCTGATACCTCCTTCACGGTTCAGAGAGGGTGAAAATTTTTTAACAAAAATCGCTTCTTTTACCCCCCTTTCAAACCATCTCTTTTCTGTTCCTAGGATTTTTACTTGTTCATCTTCAATTGTGTGGTTTGTTTCTTTTAAGTGTGCGTATACTGCACTTTTGTTATCATTGTTTTTCCATTTGTGTTGATAAAGTCTTTTCTTGAGTGTTTGTTTGGTTTCTCCAATGTAATGTTCCTTGCACTCACTTTCTTGGCAACGGATGGAATAAATCAGATTGCATTTTTGGGTGTTAG